TTTATCTTTCAAATTGCCTTCATTTCAGTGACATGTGACCATATTTTGAAATACTTGTTTTATGACTTACATTGCTTTTGCTATTGATGTTAGAATTACATCAATACTGATTTGAGGAAGATTAATTTTACTCAATCATTTATGATTTTATATATATTACTTGAATTAGATCTTATCATTAATAACTATGTTTGTAAAGGCGTTTAATCATACTATGGTTTTAAATTACGGAAAAATATTTTGGAAATTTCTGTTGTAATATGCTATATCTAATCATAACACATAGGTTGGGTCTAGGGGCTACATATACTATCTTTTAATCACCCTATATAATTTAATATATATATTAGAAAAGACATGCTTTAAAAACATTTAAAAAATTGCCAAATTTGTTTTAGGTCAAAGAAAGTGATAATAAAATTTGAATATTTTTTAAAATAAATTTTATCCTCAAATATTTTATTTAAATATTTGTTAGATTATTGATAAAAAATTGAGTAAATTATATTAGATGTCACGATAGTAATATATTGATTTTATCACTAAAATTTTAAATAATCTATTTTTTGGTACTGCACTTTTTATCGTTGTTGGCAGCTAATCACCTTCTGTCACATTAGTACTGTACTTTTTATCGTTGTTGATAGTTAATCACCACTTGTCACCGGTTGTTTTTGACAAATTTTTTTAAAAACTTTTTTAGATAATTACAAGTAGTATATGTTCATAATCTTTTTTAGTCTATTGACAAATCTTCTAAAAAAATCAACGTTTCATTTTATCACTGAAGTCACTTAATAAATTCATACCTTTGATAACTCTAAAATTAAATAATTTAACACTTCTAATATTTAATCTTAGTATCGTCCATGTTCGTGCTAATCGAACCTATCGAGCTAGGTGAATGGGTAGCCAAGTTTTTGCCTCCGCATGGCACACACAACACGGGGAGAAGTAAGTGCACCCCAACATGAATACCACGATCAAAAGTGGCCCCCGAATCCTCGTGCATGGGAATTTTGCTTTGATGAATTTCTAGTTGAGGCAAAGACATAATTCCTCCTTAAAAGTGAACCCTAATTGTCTCACCCCCAACCATGGAAATATATCATCCCTCCCCTTTGTCTCGTGCCTAACACCAACCACCTGGACAGCAAAAGCCTGCATTTTTTCCCGATTCGGGAAGCCTTCAACTCTGAGCATTTCCACTGCGGGAAAAAAAAAACATTGTTTTCAAAGTATATCCAAAATATCTCAAAGTCCTATGGGGTTTCTTTATTTACACACTATTTCGGTTTCAATAATGTGGGCAGCCATTATGTGAGTCGAAAATAAAGAAAGTAAAATCACATTCACATGCACTGCTTTTGATTACTTTGTTTTGCGCGCGAGGTGGCACGTTGCACTCACTTATCTATATCCATATACGCTACTATAATTTTTTTTATGAGTGAATACATATATATATTAATAACATAAGTTTTCATATAAACTGAGTGTAAATTAAATTTTAAGAAATACACCATCAATAAAATTGATAATTAACATAAAAAAATTAAATTTTAATAGTGGTGGATTTAAAAAAAATTAAGGTGGACACAGATATACATTAATTACATATTTTTTTTGTACAGGACATGTATAAATAAAATTTTAAAATAGACACAATCAATAAAAATAAATAATACTCAAATAAAATTTAAATTTTAAAATGAACACGCGATTATTCTTATTTAAACATAGATTTGCCCCTGAATTTCAAGATGTTCACGTTTCCAATCTATACAAACTTTACATCCATGATTATCTATATATGCTTATTTTTTTAAGAAAAAATGCATTAATTAATTATAAATATCAAATAGATATTATATATATATATATATATTACATTATTGACTTTGTTTAGAGGCTAGGGCTACCAAGGGCAATCATGCAGCTATAATTTTTTAATATACTATAGGGTTAAACTGACCGACCAAATGCTGGATGAAAATGGCAACAAAAAAATAAAATAAAATAGTATTTGATGATGCAAACCTTCGCTTGTATCCTTTGGCTAATCAATTCAAACACATATACAGCCTCTTTATAAAATAAAATAAAATCTAAAATTATGAATTAAAATATGAATATAATCCTTTGGCTAATCAATTCTATTATAAGTTTATTTCTTTAATATATACAGGATTATATTTATATTTTAATTCATAATTTTGTTTATAAATCATAAATATAAAATTATTATAATAATAATATTTACTATCATTTAAATGATAATATTTTGATTTTTTAGTCAGTGTCTGGTTAATCTTGAAACTAATTCAATTAAAAATGTTGTATATGATATAAATAGAGATATTCTTCAAAATTTAAAAATATGAATGTACTAAATACGATTTTATAAAAATATAATAGTTAATTAATAAATTTAAACAGATACCCAGGAATTGTTTGAAAATAGAAATAATGATTACAATGTTAAAAGGGCTGGGCATGGGAAATATGGAGGGCTGATCCAAGGCTTTCTACACTGTGTTAGCAACACTCAATTCACGACCAAACCCTAGGATTGAATATTTGTTTAATTGCTAATCCAAGCGGATTTGCGTTCCACCAACTCCACATCTTCTAACCTTATCCAAAACTCAAACCCTACGTTATTATTTAAACGATTTTAATATTTAAAAAGATAATTATTTTTAGTAGTCTTTAATTTAAACACGATATTTATAAAGATATACATACATTCATTATTAGATAATTAAAAATATTTCGAATAAATATCATCTTATAATCATTAAATGTTAAAAAAAAAAGATAAAAAATTAAAAATAAATAAAATCTTATTTGATACAGAAAAATGTCCCCACAACTGAAATTTGGATGTGGGTGGTGTGTCTACGAGCTTTTAACGTGATTTGCAAAACTCTCTGAGAATCAAGTTGTAGCTTCAACTTGTACTTATGTGATAGAGCCAAATATGACAACAAAGTACACAAAATTCATATACGAAAAAAAATACTTCAAAATGATTTTATTTATTTATTTATTTCAATTTTTTAAATAATAAGATTTTCTAATTTTATACTAAACTTTGAAAGCAAAAAAAAAAAAGTAAATAAATAAATTCTTTAGAAGACTATATCCATAAACCCATCTATATAACAAGATGGTGGAACAAAGATGATAAAAACATATAAGATAAAAAAAGTTCAATGCCGGATTTAATTTTATGTAATGGTGATTATGTGTCCATCATAAAATTTGATTTTTTAGTAATTACTTATTATATTTGTAAAGTGTATCTTAAAATTTTATTTTTATTTGTTCATATAAAAATGTTTTATTATTAATATATATATTTATCTCAAAAAAAAATTAAATTCATCACTAAAAAAACCTAAAGCCTTCATTGACCGTAGATTAATCTTAAGTTAACACCACGTGAAAGCTTTAGAAGTTATGCCTTAACTTCAAAGCCTTGTTATGAGTAAATAATATAAAATGTGAATTAATCATCATTCTCACGTTTTTAAGATTCATGTCTTCTTTTCAATGTTTATCTACTTATATTTCCCCTTTTTTGTTTATTAATTTTAATTTAAAATTTAATTCATTTTATTCATATAACTTCAGAATCTGAATTTAAGTTTTAACATTTATTATTCTTAATTCAAGTTTGAAGTTTTTTGTTAAAAATAATGAAATTTAAATATTTATTTTTTATTGTTATGTGCAATATTGAATTGTATCATAGATATAAAAAAATTACAAATTACTCTTCGTAAATTTTTAATCTATATTTAAGAGGTGTATTTAAATGGTACGCATGTTTGGAGTTAACTTGTAGTTGAAGATCTATACCATTCGTTTTGAAAACCTTGGAATTGTCTTATTATTCAGAGATTGGTTCAAACATTTAATTACTTGAGTTTTACTATATATATCCATAAGAGAATATTCTTTTAAAAACTATTATTATTTTATTAATTGATAAAAACATAATAAAATCACATTTTGTTAGTTAAGGAAGTTATATACTTATTGCCATTAGATTTTCCATTGAATTAGCCTCTTGCCAATTATGACACCTAATACTTGATAATTATATTGATTTACTTAATAGAATATATTCATTCAAAACAAATTAGTAGAAAATAAAAAGTCAAACCCATAGTTTCCTAAATGAAAATTAAAGTAGACATAAGAATATATTTATTAAAATAAATTTTATTCGATTTTAAAATTTGTTTTATTATTTTCGATATTCATTATTTATCTAAATCAATATATATGCAACTAAATCAAATACTTTTTTATAAAATCCGAAATGAACCAAAAATATTGATTTCATTTCACACTTTTTTTCCCCTTTTTATTTAGTAAAATTTCACTTTCGTTGATTGTGCTAGCTTTTAGCTTTGGGCCACTTTGACCAGCTTCGACCTTCCCAATTTTCGTACGGTAAAATCTAATTCACCAGGTAAAATCAATGGAATTTGGATCGTAATTGGCATTTCTTATTCACAGTTATGATATCTGATTAAAATTCTAATTATAACAATTCTGCCTTTTTATACATTAATTACTTTATATATCATATTTAAATAATTAGATAATTTATGATATTGCCCTATTTAATTACACTTACAACTCACAAGCAAATTTTAAGCTTATTTAAGTTACTTTTTTAAAAGAATATAAATATCTCGTAAAATTTTACGATATATTATTTATATTTAAAGCTTATTTTATGTTAAATATTTAAAATTTAAAAGTGAGTATAAAATTTCGTGGGTCCAAATCAAAGCAAGTTGTTTACAATAAATCTTTATGTTTTGTCTTCTTCAACTCTCACTATATATACACACTGTCGTTTGGAATTTTGCTTTCATCTCGAAGAACAGTTAGATAAAAGGAAAAGACGAATTTGATATAAAAGTACAAGGAGGAAGATTAATTTGAAGTTGAGCTGCTGTTTCTTCTCTGATCTTTCATGTCCTTCTCTGAGAGAGGAAAAAAAGTTATGTTGCGGAGGAAAAAGCAACGAATTTCTCATAAATTCACTGAGAAACCGGATCTGTTCGATGGATTACCAGATGATCTTGTAATTTCCATAATTTCGAAGCTCGCTTGTTCCGCTTCGTCTCCTCCTGAGTTCATCAGCATTCTCCTAACGTAAAGTTGATTTTTGTTTTGAATTTTTATTTGATTTTTTTTATATGTTGAAGCCTGAAGGTGTTAATCAGGGAGATTTTGAATTTTATTTTTGATAGATGCAAGAGAATAAACCGATTGGCTGTTCATCCTTTGGTTTTATCAAAAGTTGGCTTTAAAGTTTTTGCCCTCAAAGCTCGAAGCTGGTGCGATTCGGTTCATCGTTTTCTCAAACAATGCGTTAACGCCGGCAACGTTGAAGCTTGTTATACTCTCGGCATGGTCAGTATTTCGTACAAGTTATTTATTTATTTTTTTAGAAAAATAAAATTTATTATGAATTCACGTAACTTGCCGCCGTTACAGATCCGATTTTACTGCTTAGAAAACCGAAGAAACGGGACGTCGTTAATGGCGAAAGCAGCAATCAAATCCCACGCGCCATCTCTCTACTCGCTTGCAGTTATACAATTCAACGGAAGCGGTGGCTCGAAGAAGGACAAGGATATCCGCGCTGGAGTAGCCTTATGCGAACGAGCCGCTTTCCTCGGCCACGTGGACGCACTGCGTGAACTCGGCCACTGCTTACAGGATGGTTACGGCGTGCGCCAACACATACCCGAAGGACGCCGGCTACTCATCCAAGCCAACGTGTGGGAACTAGCGTCTTCTTTAAACGCCTTAGTCCAACGAAAACCTCCGGAACTATACCATCGTCGTTCAAACTATCAACATAACAGTTTAAAGACAAGTTCAGGTTGTCCGTTGTTAAGTGATTTCGGGTGCAACGTACCCGCACCAGATGTCCACCCTGTGAACGTGTTCTTAAAAGAATGGTTCGAGTCTGGTGAGGCCGAGTTAGCGCAGGGGCTTAGGCTTTGTTCCCATAAACGGTGCGGGAGGCCTGAGACGAGGGCTCATGAATTTAGGAGGTGCTCCGGTTGTGGCATGGTGAACTATTGCTCGCGTGGTTGCCAAGCGCTTGATTGGAAGCTGAGACATAACGGGGAATGTGGGCCGATCGGACGATGGTTTGAAGAAGTTGACGGTGGAATGGAGGAGGTTGTGGAAGCGGAAGAGTTAGCTATTTAATTATTAAGGATGCGTTTGGTTTACGGAATGTAAGATTACCGGTAGGAATAAAAGATTACCAGAGAATAGGATTACTGGGAATGTTGTATTTTGTGTTTTGTTGGTTTAACTAAGATTACCGTGTTTGGTTAAAGGAATAAAATATTATTGAAATGTATATTTAACCAAATTGTCCTTATTATATATTTGTATAATATTACAAATTATAAAATATTTATATATTTTCTTTAAAAGTTAAATTCATAATATTTATATAATTTTTTTTATAAAATTAAAAATATAAAAAAAATTTAATGAAAGGGTAAAAAAATTTTAACCCCTGAACTTCATATAAAATTTTAATTATAGACTTTTTTTTTGTAAATCTAAAATAATTTAAGGATAAATTTGTAATTTAACTTTCGTAGAATTTTTATTATTCAATGACAGAATAAGGATATTTTTGAAAAAAAATAAAAATTTAAGGGCATTTTAGTCCAAAACGCTGGTAATGTTACAATACCTAAGGGAAGGGAGGCAATGATATTCCCGGTAATATACCCCAAAAAATCTACTATTGGTAATAAAACATTACCGGGAATGAGATTCCCGACTAACCAAACATGAAAATGAGGAATCCCATAATCCTTGAACCAAACACCCCTAAGGGGTAGAAATAGAACCGTTGATGTAGATTTGATATGGTAAAAGAATTCTATTTTCTTTTTTAGTTTTTCGGTTTTTAATGTTTGGGATGCTTTTCATTTATGTACATACACAAGAAAGGTTTCTACTTTTGACTTTTTGAGATTTTAATTATTTAGTTTTTATAGAAAATGAAAAAAAATACGGATTTGGGTAATTAATTGTCACAATTATTGAGATTTTATTTTTATTTAAACCTAATTTCGGATCAATATTCAAAATAAATTTTAATAGTAAAATTTATAAGGGTATATTACAAATTTCATCACTAAACTTTACATCTCTTATTTTGCTCACTGAATTCTAAAAGTTTTTAATTTCCTCAATGAACTTAATAAATTGAGTTTTTTTGTCACTATGTCATTAAATAGTTAACGACGTTAAAACGATGTCGTTTAAAAAAATAAAATTTTCACCAAAACGATATTGTTTTGCATCTATATAACAATCCATTTATAACGATGTTATTGAGAAAACGGTTGACTGACAAAAAAACTCAATGTAAAATACAATGAGTGAAATAAGAGTTAGAGTAAAGTTTAATTACCAAAGTTGTAATTTACCCAATTTATAATTATTTGATTGTGATTTACTCATACACCAAAAAATAAATTTTACATTATTTAAATATATATATATAGAGAGAGAGGGGGGTTAGAATAATTTACAGATGTATATTAATATATAATTTTTTATTAAATTTAGTACAATCAATTATATATCAAATCAATTAAAAATTTAATCCTCGATTTTTACCCCTATAACAAGCTATAAAGTTTTTTAAGAAATAATTTTAAAAATTCTAAAACAACCATTAGGTCTTCAATCATAATTTTAGAAAAGGCAACAAAATTCCAATCAAAGTTTTCCTTCGACATGAGAAGCATCATTTTGAAAGCATGGGTCATAGATATTGGTTCGAAGAAAAATAACAAGAAATTTTGAAAATGCTAGTGCGTGGTTAAAGAGGCTAGGTTGGGCGAGCCATTTTGACATACACCTTATGGCCACATGTAAGTAAAGAGGATATTGAGCGATATAGGTTAATGGGTATGCCTAAACCAAAATCAAATGAATCCAACAAACAACCTAGAAGAATCTTTATGTATAAATTTGAATGTTTGCCTTGTTTTAAATCCAACTTCTTCAGTTGTGACTACTGTAAATCTCAATCGATTCTTCGCTACGTTCATACTAATTCAAAATAATGCTACTGCCTTTACTTGATTGGTTTTCAGTCTTTGATTATTGAACTAATTCATTTTTGTAAATAATTTGTGTTTACGGATAAAGTGATCAACAACCATGAAGGAGATCAAACAATAATTCTTATGATCTTGGTCTAATTTTGATGATCTTGATCTAATTTTTTAGTGGGAGAATGTGTAGTTATTTATAATGTTTTGGACACATGATTGATTAAAAATTGTCGTGATATTGATTCTGATTGAACATCCCGTAAAATGAAGATTTAGACTAGTTTGTCAATAAAATAAACGAGATGTACTTGTAGGAGTATAGGTGATTGACACTGTTGTTATTGGCTATTCGCAAAGAATGACCTGCTACTTGAAGGTTCGCGTGAATCTTATATTCGTAAATTTGAGAGTCCGCGGAACCAAAGTATCCACATGTGTAAAGGTTCGCGTGAATCCTATATTCGGTGATACACGTGTGGGCAATTATAGTCTAGAATAAGAAATAACAAAGTGTCTACAAGTTACACTACAATTTAGATAGTAGAATTATACCTATTTCATGTATTCAATATGATCTTTAAACTGAGAAAAAATAATTTTGTTCTTTGACCAGTAAAATCAAATATTAATCGTTATGATGTTGAAGTGACATTTTTCGGTGTTAATATAGTAGTCCATGGTGACTAGGAGTGTAAATGAATCGAATTTGAACGAATAAGGTTATATTCATGTTTGTTTGTTTATTTTTGAAGGTGTTCATGTTCGGTTCGTGTTACTTTAAATTTTTAATGTTGTGTTCATGTTTGTTTATTTATTTTTGAAGGTTTTCATGTTTGTTTATTTATTGTTCGTGAACATGTTCGTTTAATGTTCACAAACGTGTTCATTTAACGTTCACAAACATGTTCATTTAGTATTTGTTTAATGTTCGTTTATCGTATGTTTATCAATTGTTCATTTATAACGTTCACAAACGTGAATGATGAAGTAGCACATGACGTGGTAATCCACGTCAACATTGCCATTAATTTTTAACGGCATATGTTTAAAACATAAATAAAATTTAATGTTAAATATGATTTTTATAAAGATATTTGATTAATCAAAACATAAAAAAAACATGCCAACGAGTGTTGTTATAAATGGTTGAGATTCAAAAATTTAAGCTTGTAAGGTCAAATTTGAAACCCATTACAGTCACACTTTTGGTAGGTAATCTGTAAAGTCGTATGTAAATCCTAATTGGGTCGTAGGTATGTCCTGACTCTAGATTGGGGAACCACACTGACCTAATTTAAAAAAAAAACATAAATAAAGTATTAAATAGTTAATTAAATAAGTAATTTACCTTTATTTATTGAGAAAATAACTTCAGTGACAAAAAACGCCTTATAATATACGAATTTAACCAACTTTTTTTGGATTTGCCAAAATAACCAACAAATTCGCAACGCGAATTCCAATTTCGCAACTCAGTTTTCAATTTCACAACGCGAATATGTAAATCGCATTGCGATTTTCCAAATTCGCAACGCGATAGTCAAATTCGCAACGCGATAGTCAAATTCGCAATACAAAAGTCAAATTCGCAACGCGATAGTCAAATTCGCAACTGAATTTCAAATTCGCAACTGAATTGCAAATTCGCAACTGAATTTCAAATTCACAACTGAATTTCAAATTCGCAACGCGAATTTAATTTCGCAACAGGTTTTAGTTTCGCAACACAAATGTTTTGGGTATATAACAACGCAACAGCAACAACTCATAACCTAAATCCCTAAATTGTAACTCATTCCATCTCCATCTATCACCCTCTCCGGCGACATCCGTTCCTATATCCAAAGACATCCTTCCCCATCTCTATTTTTTTTTACATAATTTTATTTCTATATAATTTTTCAATGATTTCTCTCCCAAATTATCAACTATCAACTTAATAAAGGTATGTTTTTCTCTAAGTTAGTGATGATATCTAGTTTATAGCTCATTTTTTTTAGTAAATTAATTTACAATTTTTAGAATGAAATCATCTAATGTTGATCATGTTTGGATAGATTTGTGTTTTGGAGGGTCATGGGAGAATGTTCATGGTGTTTTACAATATGTGCCTTTACCCATGAATCTTCAACTAAAACTGTCATTAAAAAAGTTAACTTATGAAACTCTAATGTTACGTGTTGCAAAGAAATTGAATTTAGAGCTTCTAAGTGGATTTAGGTTATCTTATCTAAGAAAAGGTAAAGTTTATTTGTTAACCGACAATGAAGATGTTGAACGATTCATTGCTTACATTAGTGTTTCGCAAGAAGATGATGTTACATTGTATGTTGTTGAACCTAGAAGTAGTGAAGTTAGGTCAGTAGCGGGTAGTAATCAACTAACCTCTTCAACCCAAAATTTAATGGTTCCACCACAATTTCATCACCAAACAAATTTTGTTTCACCATATTTTCAATACCAAACACAATATCAAACACAATCTCAAAACCCACAACCTTTTCCTAATCCAAATCTCAATCAACTTTCAGCACCAAATTATGGTTTTCGTATTGACCAGTTAGACGATTATGAGTTAACAGAAAAAATTGTGAGTACTAGTCAGTATTCGAAATTTGATCTTGGTCAATACCCAGACTTTGATCTTGGTCAATACTCGGATTTTGATGATGTGATGGAAGAAGAAACAGACCCGGCATGTAATGATTTTGATATTGGTCAATACCCGAATTTTGATGATGAAACAACCGCTGTCGAGGAAGATGTTGTTAATGATAATGAGGAGTAAGTTACGACTGTGAATGAACATATTGAACATCCATTCTGTAATTCATATAACCTTGAAGAAGAAAAAGAAGAAGAAGAAGAAGAAGTCCCCGAAGAAATGAAAAAGAAGAAAATGCCACGGGAGTATAACTGGAATATGCCATAATTATTTCAGATACCGGAAGAAGAGTTGGTAAAGATATCAATTGATTGTTACACAGAAGTTATTCGTATCAAGAAAGATGATTGTTTTGATACAAAGGAAGACTTGAAGATAGCTTTGTATACGAAATGTGTAGAAGATGGCTATCAACTAAGAGTTAACAAATCAAGCAAAGATCGTTTCGAAACAAGGTGTATGATTGACAAAAACTGTATGT